AGGGGTCGGCCTGGCCTGCCTGTGACAGGCCAGGCCTAAAAATCGTGACCTGTGCCTGTGACAGGCAGGCCTAGTGGCCTGGTTGGGGCTCTGGGACCTACTCTATATACATAATCTAAACTCCAAAGCGACTTCCCTATCATATTTGCCATTCATAAAACTAGGATTAAATGGTAACCAAAGTCATAGAAAAAAAAGTTCTTTCAACTAATGTTTTGTTAATGAACGTAACAGTTTATAATAACTAATTTTCGAATAAATTTTTTTTTTTTTTTGAACTAGCATTGGATATATCTAAAGAAGAAATGAATAATGATGATGAACAAGAAGTACCTGGCAATGATGAAGATAACATTGATGAACCACCAAGTAAAAAAGCAAGGAAAATCAATACGAAAACTACTCTTATGGATAATATGACATACAATGAACGATTTGGTGTATGTATATAACAAAAAAAAAAATAGAACGACATTTTCGATTTCATTTATTAAAAAACGACTTTTCCTTTTAGAATGTCTGTAAACATGCTGATTATATACGTGATTATACAGCTGATCTTGATAATAATTTATGGTGTCGTTAAGAATATTTATTTTGTTTTTCAATTGATTCTCTTTCATTATTTATATGTTAATTCTTAATTCTTCTTGTTATTGTCTATCACAAGAGTAATCTTCTCTTTATACCAGATAGTAATGCATTTATCATATCAGTTGGTAATCGAGTGAATATGATCGATTTAAAAATATATTGTATATGATTAATTGTTGATCAAAATCAATATTTTATTTTAATGATCGATCAGAAACATTATCATTTGAAAGTGAATTTAATACTATTTGTTCAACTCTCTCATCTAATGATGCACTCTTACTTATTACTAACGAGAGTAAGAGTTAGATTATTTTAATTTCAAAAATATTTCATGTATTTTTACACAGCTGGTCGAGAATATTTATACAATGTCAAATGTCGTAGATTGATTGGTATTCATCGTTTTGGACATGATATCTGTACAATCGAATTCAGTCCTGATTTCAAGTAAATATAATATTGACGATTTAGATATTATAAATCTATTGTATAATACTTTAAAAATTCTTTTAATATAGAAGTAATATTATTTGTCCGTTTCGAATTTATTTTAACAGTGTAAATGAATTGTCAATGAAAGTTTTATTTAAGATTTAAACAAGCTTTAATTTTTACTAATAAATTTGTTGACATAAGAAAAACTTTTATATTATAGATCTGTAGCTGTTTGTCGTAGTAATCGCTATGAATTCTATACTTGTCCTAGTACTGATCGTCAATTCAATTTGTTTACATTAAAATTTATTCTTCATTCATTTCATGATAAAATAACATTTGTCAAATGGACAAGTGATTTTCTGTATGTTATATTTTTCTTTCATAAAAATAAAACCAAAGTAAATCATTTTTGTTTCATAGTGTTCTGACCGTTATTAGTACAGATATGACAACTAAAATATTTAGTGTCTCTTTACTAGATAAACTATATCGATTTATATTAGTTAGTCATGTTTGTGAAATCGTCGACACTTTTTTTGAACAAGATTCATTGAATGTACATCCATAATTGTCTTTATTTTTCAAATGATATTGTTTTTCTTCTAATATCGATAATGACTATTTGTAAAAATGCTAAAGTCAATTATTGGACTGCTGATATGGATTTAGCATCTATAGAATCAATATCATATATACCTGATGAAAATGTTAATTAAGAAATTCTGACATCATCAAATGGTCATATTGATAGAAATGATGATGATAATGAAGAATTAGATGATGTTGTTGAACGAGAACGAATTAAACTTTTAGCAAAAACAAAAACGTTTAGATAAATATCTTATGAAAAATCGAACTAAAGATGATATGGTTATTTTCAAACGAACGAATAAGTAAAATACAAAAATAAATCAATTTGTATTTAAAAAAAAAATCGTTTTTATTCTATTCTATGGATTTAATGATAAAGAAATATTTGAAGATGCTAATCATGATGCTTTACTTCTTTGTACTGATCATCAAAAAATACATATGTTAGTAGCAGGATTTTCAAATGGACATTTTTATCTTCATGAAATGTTTAATTTTAATATTATTCATTCTTTAAAGTTTGAATATATTCTTGAAAAGCTGTCAAAACTAGTTTTGATGACAAAGAAACAAATCAAGTCTGTGGGAATCTGGACATGAGGGTGTCTTCATTGCGTTCAGATTATTTTTTCAATAAATGAATGCAAAAAAAATAAGTAAATATACAGAATGATAGAAAACTCCACAGGCTTTCAGAATATATAATTAGTTTTAAATAAACGTGTTTTTACAGCTACAATAAATGAGAAATACAGTAAAACTATTTTTTTTTTGAGGGCATATATATAGAGAGAAAACAAAAGCGAAAAAGATAATCTGGGTACATTCTTTCACATGCACTTAGTTTAAACATTAAGTAGAGCAAATGAAATCGGTCAGACATCTTCTTTTCAAACTGCGCAATAAGAAGAGAAAGAGATAGAGCGAAAAATCAAATATGAATTTCGAGGTTTTAATGATGAAGGAAAGAAATGTTCGACATGTGTACGAAACAGAAAATAGATAGATATTGCACAAGAAATAAAGAAGAGAAGAGAGAGAGAAAAAAAAGGACCTATATATACGTATAGAGAGATAGCGCATATAGTTAGTACACAAATATCCTTCGCGAGTTTTCTTTTTTTTTTCTTTCTTTTAC